AAGATGATGTTAAATTTTCCAGCTGTCAAAAAAAAAAAAAAAAAAAAAAAAAACTCATAGCAAGCAGACTTTTTAATCTCATCAACAGAACTCAGTTGATGTTCAGGCTCATGTCCGTACTTTGGAGCGTTTTGAGTTCGTCGGGCCGTAATTTACAGGAACGGCGTCGGCCGCTCCTGAGTGAGCGCCTGGACGTGTGCGGGGGTCCCTGCTCTCCCGCTGCCTGTTGGTGAGATCCAGGTATAAACACGCTGCCTGCTGGCCAGGACACATCCCCGTCTATTAGCTCCATAATTCAGCGCAGCCTCCAGCAGCCTGCCCTGATCATAGGAGGGTAATTGCAGGGAGGCTGAGCCTGATTTATCGACGCGGTGGGCGCTGTAGATTACAAGCGGATGTGAGGATTTTGTTTGTGGCTCGTTTTAAATATTTCATGTAATTGGAATTTCTGTTCTTCTCCAGTGGAAGCTGGAAAACAAGAACAAGCAATCAAGCTTCAGTCAAAAGCTGCTCAGCAAAATAAACAAACTGACTAAATATATTTTATAATGAGAGTAGAAACATGGATCAATAAATGAAAAATAATAATGGCAACATCAAGTTGTCCAAACTCATAACTTTAGTCTACATTGGGTCAAAAAGCTCAGGTATTAGATCTAGTTTGCACTAAAAATGATTGGACATAAAGCAGTGCATGATTATGAAGTTTAAGGAAAAGATTTGAATATTTTTATCCCAAAAAATCTAAAATGTGTATCAGACCTTATTATTAATGCACTACAATGCATTAATAATAAGGTAGTTAGAAGCTGTTAAATAGCACTGTGTAATCAGTGCAAAAACTATGCAGTATATTTTTTAAGCTTTATTTTGTTGTTTTCCTGCATGCCTCAATTGTGAAGTCGTCTGAACAAAAAGGCTCTGAAAATACTGTTTCTCGTTTTGTTGTAAAAGATTTAGAAGAGTTTTATAAAACTCACCCTTTTCTTTCTTTCTTTATTTATTTTTTTATTTTTTTTCTCCTAAATTTCTGCTCAAAGTAGAACAATTCATTTCAGATTTGACCCACTTAGGGCATAAATTGCCATCACTCTGACCCAACCATGACCATTTCTCCACATGCAGACTGCTGCGTCTTGGTGACCTTGCTCTTTGAAGGGCCGTCACTTTAAGTGGAAAAAAAAAAATCAATAAATATATCCCACTTTTAAAGTGAGACGTTACCGTCTCCAGAATGATGTTGTCCGGGTTGGCAGCCGGCTACTTTCCTCCGCTGGGCAGTCGTTGCAAGCTCTGCTCCAGCAAAACGTTACTTTGTCATAACAAATTACACCTGAAGTGGGTTTTTTTCTTGCAAACCAAACGGCAGGCCCCAAAAAGCACGGAGGGAATTTGAAAATACACCCGTCGCCAAGGAAACTGTTGAATCGATCTGAAATGTGGCTCATCTTTAAGATTTTCTCCCGTGTAGCCAATTACAGTACAAATAGTGTCAAAAATACGAGTTTGGGGATCCAACGCTGCTTTATTCTTTCCCACCTAATCTGCAGTTATTACAGATTTTGAGCATCCTACTGCATAAGACATTGAGTTTTCATTTATAGTAACTGTTTGTTTCTCCTTTTATCAGTAACCACAGATTGATTCCAAATTGGATATTTTCTTGATTGCATTGCGGTGGATTGGAAAACTGACTCACCGCACTGTATTTAATTCAGAACACAAAAAATGATTCCATTATTTTCTCTCTTTTTTCTTTTTTTTTTAGCCTACAGACCTTTTCCATCAGTAATGCGCTGCACAATGACAAGACGTTTGTGGCGTTTATTATTTTTTTCCCCAGACAAAGGCATTCTAATGTGTTCTGAACACACACCCACACACAGACTGAGCTTTTCCATGAGGAAGATTTGCGCAGCGGGAAACACATGAGTTTGACGTGTTGTTTGCATTGCAGTCCAACTGAATCACAGGCTTTATCATCAGGTAAACATAATGCCTTTTTGTATGTGTGTGTGTTTGTTTTCCTCTTTAATGTGTGCGGGTTTGACACAACGACACACGGAAGGAAACATGTAGGAGACACATGTGACTGTACACTGGATCAGTTCAAAAACAGAATAAATCAAAGCAAGGAAAGTGATTTAATGTGTAATTCTTGATTCTTGGGTCGATGAGAGAAGACAGAAAATCCTCCATTTTTGTATGTTTCATTCTGTCCGTTTATTGTAGAGATTTGCTAAGTACTGTATTTTCTGGGCTATAAGCCAAACTCTTTAGTTTTTTTAATACTTTCCTGCCACTTACAGTCCAGTAGAACTTGTTTTATTCCACTTCTTGACAAATGTTTTGAACTTCTGATGTTAATTCAAACTGACAGACTTAAATTAAGCAATAAAGAGGTAGAATTATGTATTTTTTAGGCACCATTTTATAGCACAATTAGTAACAATGTTATCTTTATCAATGAAATGCGATGTTTATATTTAGAGAAAGAAATGATTTTGCAATGAAACCCAAAGGAGTTGACGTTTACATGCCTTACTTGAATGTGTCTGTTCAGGTGACTGTCTCATCTGGAGGTCAAAATACAATCCCATGTTATAATTGATGACTTTGGTTTGATTATGTACACTTTGTGTTGCGCTGACACTGAAGGTTGTGAGGTTTTGTGGTTTGGTTTCAGGTGTAGCTAATTTTCATTTGTTAATTATGAAATGCAAACCTTTGAGATACTTTAAGGTTCTTTTCCATTTCATTCACATTGGGATAGTACGACAGTGTATTAGCCCAACTGTTCATAGAGAAAAGGGAGCACAATTCAGCCAAAAAACAGAGATTTTCTAGAAAAACAATTTGATGTCTGAACTTGAAAAGTTGAACATATTTTTTTAAATGTTCTGTTTCAGAAGTCAATATTTTTTTGACTTTCCAAGATTTTCTAGAAAATTTATGAAAATAATCCCCACATTTTCTATTTTTTTATTTTTATTTTTAGCAAACTTCTCACTTTTCAAACTCATAAATTATGAGATTAATCTCAGAAATTTTCTAGAAAAAACTCAGAAATGTATTAGTTTTTTTTCTCTGAAATGAATCTTAATTGCTACCAGGATTCTTTTCTCTGACAAATGTTGAACTTTTGGCGCTCTGAAGTTAATCTCTGAAGTCAATCTCAAAATTTCTGAATTTTTTCATGCACATTTTTGACTTTTAGAACTCATCAATCTTTTTTATTTTTTATTTTTTATTTTTTGCTTGTTCTAGAAAATTATTATTTTTTTTATAATAAATTTTTTCTCTCTCTCTCTGTCTCTACTGGCTCTGACACACCGTCATAGTAAAGTGACCCAAAATGTTTTGATGTAGTTGATCTGAGCTGTAATTTAGGGACAAACAAGTCGAAACACATTCAAGCGATTCCTAAAGGACTGCTTGATGTGAGAGTGAGACGGACCAAGAGAGAGAGAGAGAGAGAGAGAGAGAGAGAGAGAGAGAGAGAGAGAGAGACCAGAGCTTCAGAGAACGGTAACACAATCTATGGAGATGAAAACAAGTTGCTGCAGGTTGGAGAGAAAGGGAGCGCTGGATGGATAAAAAGCTTTCCAAGTTCAATGCTCAGTGGTCTTAGTTAGGTCAGTGACCCAAATCCCAGCGCCCCCTGGAAGACACACACACACACACAAGCAACACACACACACTCAATTGATGGGATAAGTGGTTTAGATCCACTTGGATGAGAGGTTGTTGTTAAAGGACAATAGGTGAGTGTGTGCGTGTGTGTTACAGAGGATGAAAGAGAAATAGATCAATGTTCCTTTGTGTCTCGAGGTTAACTTGGGAGAAAACACCAAGCTGAGCCTCCCTACACAAAAACATACAAAACCCCCATCACCTTCAGCACAACCTAAGACTTTAAGTCCAAATTTAAGTTGAAAACGCTGAAGTCGCCTTCTTTAATCCTCTGACTTAAAGTCACCTCAAGGGCACGTCAGCGTAACTTCACTGTGGCAAAATGCAGAGTGAGATCACAAGCTAATAGAATGCTAACAGCTTGTCAGATGTTTACGTGGATTCAAACCTTCAGTGACGTCCATGATGCCCTGTACGGTAGCTTAGGAGGGCCATAAATTGACAAAAAATACCCACAACAGTGCCTGAGGGTCTGCTTGGCATTCCAGCCGTGAAAATGATATGAAGACCGTTTTACACAGTTTCTGTTTTGAGCAAATGGAGGAATGACTCATGTCACTGTTGCTGTGGCTAATCCTTGGATGGCTAAACAAATCAGCTCCAAACAAACCCACTCAGACTGATTCAAGAGTCCTTTCACGCCTCAGAGATGCAGGCCTGCGTATACAAAATATGTTTTTATATTTAACTTTCCCGACATAAACGATGTGCCTAAATGTGTGCGATGCTGCATATTTTGGTATTGATTTGACACCAAGTAAATACACGGTCAGTATAACTTCTGTCGATTCAGATTCAGATGCTTTTCAAGATCGATGTGTCATCAAACTTCTGACCTGTAAGTGTGTCTGCTGCCTTTGAAATATGTTGTTCAAACCTGGAACAGAATTTGGACAAACTTTACAGTTTGTCTACAAAATACTTTTAACCACATATTTTTGTGTCTACAAAAGTATTTCGCACAGCTTCGCAAGTTTGGTCAAACATTTAAAAGTAACTTACTTTTATTTATGTAGTCAGCGCCATTAGGTGCATCGCTTCAGCTTTGGAATCAACTCCCTGAAAACCTGAAGAAGAAACGATAAACTCCTTTAAATCAGGACCAAAAATGTTTCTTTTCAGTCTAGCTTTGCCATAAATTTCAAATATTTACTATTTCTTTTCTACCATTTCTCGCTGCTTTGTTTTAAATATGCGTGTCGACACCTCTTCCTTTTATTGGGGAATGATCAAAAACTTTACTTCTGCAAAGATACTATATCTCCTAAATATGACCATTTTGGCAATGCTCCCTGTTACCTCTTCAGGAATTCGACGTACTGCATGAAAGTGTCCATGTCGATGACCGTGGAGGAGAGCGACGAGGGGAAGTGCTACAGCAGCAAGATCCGGCACCTGGAGAAGGCCGAGGTGACCCACAGCAAAATGATCACCTGTCCCGACATCGAAGACTATCTGGCTCCTTACAAACAACCGCAGATGACCTGGTATAAGGTACGGCCCTGAAAACGCACCATCACCAATTCTCTCGGAGTCTGCTTCGGCTAAACGGGAGTCTCCTGTTAGGAGTGTGAGCGAGTGGAATGGAGAAGCTCCGTTACCGTCAACACTACGCACATCTGGATTCCTGAGGTGGAGGAGGGCGACGCCGGGAACTACACGTGCGAACTGCAGTACGGATCCAAGCAGGTGCGACGGACAACGCAACTCAAAGTAACAGGTAGGAAACGGTTTGTTGCTGGGGGATCCCGAAAGAGGCCAAAGCATATGTTACACTGTGAATACAAGAAAGGCTAGATGGAGGATCTGATCCGTTATTTAAAGGGGCAGTGTTAGGTGTTTTCCAGCTACATAGTGCCATTTTGTTTCACAATCAATGTAAATGCTGTATATGTCAACTATGACTTACAAAGTGAAAAGAAAAGTTAAAGAAATTTAACTTTGTAATTTAACGCCTCAAAATTGGGTCTATGTCTCTTTAAGAAGCTCCTGCTCTTTTTGAAACTCCGTCTTCAGGAGGTCATCACAACATGGCTCCTCTATTAAACACTTAAAGTTTTTACCAGCGTTTCAGTAACTGCATTTCCATTACAAAAACTTCTTATCGAAAAAAGAGAGGATTTTTTTTTATAAATTACAGTGTTTCCATTCTGCCAATTAATTTTTTTTAATGTCAAACAGTTCAATTTTATGGTCAATGGAAGCTACTGAGACGTAGCTCCTATAATGAGCTCAACAGATGCTCAATTCCACCAGGTGTTTGCTAATTGCTTCTAGCTAGTCTGAAGGAGCTGAGTGAGGAAGTCAGCAGCTCTGAGGCAGAGCTTTGTCCTGAAAGGCGGAGCTAGGTCCAACCAGGCATTTTAAGCAGCTGAATGGTTGTCATAGAGATTGAAGGATTTCTCAAACATGAATGGAAGAATCAAGACAACACTCAAGGTATGTTTATAATGTGGGAATAACATTATAACATAAAGTAAAACTCAACAAAGTTAATTTTACACAACACTGCCCCTTTAAGGGTCTATGCCTTTGAGTTAAGGAATGCAATGTAAGAAAAATGTATTTTAAGCACATCTGCCATCCAACTTGTCTGTCCATGTACAGTATATATGGATTTTATGCAGTCAGTCATTTTTGACAAACTAACAAGAATGAAATAAACTGCAGCGTGAACAACTCCTCTACCTTCTCTGAACGTTTAGCAGCTCTCCTAACTCCAGAGCATCCATTACTTTGACAGATGACCGGACTCAGCAGTGCACCATTCATCATTACTTCAGCACTTTTAAAGTTTCTTTAAGCACACTTTACAAATGTGCCCTAAAACTGTTGAGTAGCTTTTTATCCCTGTAATTTTTTTTATGTTTTTTCCCCTCTCTTTAATTTAACTATATAAACATAAAAACCCTCCGTGACTTTTTATCTAACTTTGACTTGTTAGTGACCTCGGGACTCGGCGCCGACGTTTCCAGGAACCGGGTCGCTCTTTGCCACCTGCTTGTGTTTCTTTGTTGTTCCTTCTGCAGCAGATTGTCAGTTTGTCTCAGCAACAGCAACATCTTGAGGATCGTTTTTACGTTGCACAACAGTTCATAAACATTTCCCGTAAATCCAATCTCCTCTGCGCTCCGACGGTGATGCGGACCGACAGATTTCCTGAAGTGCTTTAGAGCGCCGTGATTAGCAACATGTTAAAGCCGAACAATGTCCTTTTAGAGTGTGCCCTAAAACATTTAACGCTCCATTTCACCACACTTTTTTTTTTCTTTTTTCTTTTTTAAATCCCACAGCCGAGTCAGTGCTGCTTTCATCCAGCACTTTGCTGCGCTGTGCTTCAGATGTGCAGCTACCGCTTGTAAAGCAGAGCTGACATGAACAGGCGCTGCTTCATTTTTCAGAGAATTATTCACCGCGCTGCCCGGGTTCCCTCCACCGCTGCAGAGGAGAGCAGAACCAGAAAACATGCAGATTCTTTTACATCTTTCCTCACTGAACATTTTTCTTTAATTCAACAATTTAAGTTAATTTAATTAGTTTATGTTAAAACGCAACAGGATACAATTAACATGGAGAATTGTGAACAGCAGTTGCATTTTTTCCCCTCACACACAGTGTTGAAAGTGAATAGTGACATCTCAGTATAATTTAATAATAGTTATAATAAACTTTATCATTAATCTCTCACTTGGGATATAACTCTCAGTAACATAAGGGCGTTTTCACTTCTCATCTCTTTAAAAAAAGTCTTAAAACAAAAAAAATGTAAACATTGAGTATATGCAAGGATATATAGATTTTATGGTGGTTTTTATATATTTCTCATTCTGCAGTGTTATTTTATGTTTTTTATCCCTGCATTTATTTTTGTTTTTTAAACATCTTGGCTAGAATCTCATGATTTTAGACATAAATTATCATTAACACGTATTTTTCCATAAAAAAAAAAAAACTTGACCGTAGTGCTATAAGACCTTTATTCTTCTGTAGCACTTTCCAAGCAAAGCTGTGTATTGACCAAAGTCCTTTACAAGATGAAACGCATAAAACCACAACACAATAAATCAGTGCTAGTTAAAAACACAAGCACAATAAAAAAAAGGTAAAAAAACAAAAAATGCTAGAAGTTAAAAATCAAAAGCCGTTTTCTAAAAAAATGGGTTTTAAGTTCGGCTTCTAATTTTAATAGACAGAGAACTTTATGATGCAATTTGTGACTGCTATATAATTTTAACTGAGGTTGGATGCCAAACTGCATCCATCAACCTCCTCGTCAGAAACAACCAATCAGCAGTAAAGTCTTGGCATTGTCAGTTTATAGTGAAGCATAGCCACAGATGATGGCAGATAAATGGTGTTCCCTTTAATATTCGGCTGTTTCTCCACCATTAGCATAGCTACAGCAAACCGGCAATCTTGATTGTACAGGCTTTTCGAGGGAGGGTGTAAACAGCGCGTACACAAACTTGATTGACAGTTCTAAGTCCCTCCTCCTGCCTCTGATTGGTTGTTTCTGAACATAAAGAATGAGTATTTCATTATGAAAATGCTACAGCGACTGATTTTATGATTACTTATGTGTTAAAATGAGGTTTATTATTATCTAACCTTGACTCTTTTGTCCTCTATACAAGACAAATATTAAGTGTATGTTTATTTTCCACCTGTTCAACAAAACAAACATTTTTTTGGAATATTTCCACTGATTTCCAGCTGCTCCTGAGTTAAATCCCTCAGCTGTTGATCCTGTGTCTGCTGGCAGAAAGATCTGATCTCGCTTTCAACGTTAAATTGAGACTGAAGCAGGGGAAGAGAAACAGGCAGAGCCTGAAGACGCGCTCTCGGCTATGGTGTTAAGTACACCGAGTCGAAGTAAAAGCCCTGGAAATGGATCGAAGCTGCATCTGGGGACATGTGTTGTAAATTTCACACTCTCGGCGCACCTCATTTAAAGCTTCTCTGTTCCCTTTAAATATTTACAACCCTCTAATTAACCGCTGTACCTCAGGGAAGTGTACACTTTGTTGGGGTGGGTAATCTCTCGTGTTTATAAAGCTGTTTTCAGCCGGCGGGGTTCGGGGGGATATCCTGTGTAGACTTGCTAAACTGGAACATTTTTATTGCAGCACTAACAACTTGTTGTGAAGCCGTTTTGCTCGGAATTATGTTCCCAGGAAACTAATTGTTTTCATAATTGTGTTTCGGGGGGGAAATAATTGTGCTCTAATTGAATGGCTCTTTATGGTGCAGCGAGTTATTTTCTTTTCTTAAAAAGCTGAAGTCAAAGGAAACTATTTTGGATGTCTTGGAAGTTTTATTGAGATCAGATTAAGGCTCTTTAGCATTTTATGCCTGCTGAGCCAAAATCAGTGATTTTTACCCTTTTCAATAGTATTCACAATGAGGAGAGAGACTATATTGGCTGCAGCAACTTTACATTTCCAAAATTTCCAAATAGATGATACGGCTGAGAAACTCATCACAATATAAACATTTCTTATCAGTCTATATTCATAATTATTGATTCTTCTTTTGTTTGAAATATATGAAATACAACCACACCTTCCCTGTTTTATCCACAGTTGTCACTTGATCTCATTTTTTATTTTAAAGCAGTTATGAGGGACGGTAGCGAAATCCGAAACTGTTGCTATGCAAGTTACTCAATGGCTTGTTGCTATGTAACAAATTGTTGTTCCCACCAGCTTTTCTTAGTTGGCTGTGAGTAGGCCTTTCACATTAACAAATTTTGCCAGATGATAAATTGTCCCAGTAATATAATAGTAATAACGAAAGAACAATGCGAGAACACTTTCTCAAAGATCCATAAACTTTAAATTCAGATGAACATTTAAACATTGGAAGTGGAAGACATTTTAAATATCCAAAATAAATAATATAAACCCCCCCCCGACAGAAACAACAAATAAAATGATTTCTGAAAATCGATAAATCAAGCAAATAAAAATTGAGTTTGTTTTAGTTTATCATGCAATTAATTGATTTATTGTTTTTTTGTGACAGGCCTAGCTGTCAGAGGTTGAGTGGCCAATATCTTTTCTCTGCCTACATCCCCCAGAATGCAGTGCAGTTTCTGACATATTGCGATACGTATTGTTATTGATTTATTGTCCAGCCCCAGATCCAAACTGTTCCACAGAGTCTGAGCTTCTGGTCGTTTCTGCAGTGGGCAATAATAACTTGGCGTCAACTTTCGATTAACCACCTAGTAAAACACTTCAGTAGCTCAGAGTGTGAAATTACTGTAGTCTAACAATGATTACCAAACACCAGCTCCCAGTTTTGTTTCTATTTTTATTTATTGCAAAATTATTTAATTTCGTCATGAAATGAGGAAGATTTTGAAATGTCACGTCTTCTTTTTGCATTTACCCGACCTCACTGTACATTAAAATACTGTTAACAGAAGCAGGACAGCACTTTATTGAAGACTGTGGCTGTATGTTTTAACTCAGGAATATCTCTTAAAGCTTTAAACGTTTCAGGCGATGCCTTGCCAGATCACTATCAAACTTTTTCAACCTTTGTAGTATTTTATCAAGGTCATCCAGCAGCTTTGGATCCAAATATCTGTAGCAGTCAGGAAAAATGCAAGTAAGTTATTAGGGACATCATCATCATCATCATCATCATCATCATCAAACTAATGTAAACAATGTAATACTCTAAAAAGTGTTGTGAAAAACTCCACATACATGC